TGAGAAGAACACATACCTAAAATTGCAAATAATTTGGATCTGTATAAAAATAAATAAAATTCAAGTACTTCCAGACATATGTGATCATTAGATTAGCCCAGATTCAATCTGGTCTGTTGGGCTCATATGTTCATATGATCTAGTGGACTAATCCCATCTCTTTCATATATATATATATATATTGATTATATGAGTATATATCTCTTGATAAAGTTGTGTCAATAACTCTCTCAAGATCAGTTAATAATTATCAATAACTATTGATATCTATCCAGAACTATTATTAATCGTATATTTATACGGGGTCTTGTATATTCTTAATTAATTAATATGGTATCAAAGTGATAGGCTCATCAACCTCAAGATCTGAGCTCGTACCTCAGAGTTACTGCATCATAGCTTGAGCTCTCTAAACACAAAGTCTCTCTCTCCTAAGTAATCTGGATTTATCTCTCTACATTTCTTCATGTGTTTCTGGCTACAACCCTATGCCATTGACTGGCTTTGATACAGTGGACAATCTCGATCTCTTCTTGGTTTGGCTAAGCTCTCGCTTCTCCTCTTACGCTGCTTCTTGAGCCTATTGGCAAGAAGCTTCTAGTATTCTGCTGCCTCAACCTTGGCCTTTGGATATGTCTATCTTCCTTCAATTCCTTCAAGTTGTTTCCTCACTCTCTCTCTAGGAATTCGTTCCCATCGAGAGAGAGAGTCTGCTCATAGTTCGTTCCCAACATATCCCACAAATTTGTTCTCTCCACAAGGATATTTCCTAGTGTTGACGTGTGTGCAAAACTTTGGTATATAATTCCCTTGACTTTTAGCCCCTTCTTTTCTACCTTGCACAAGTTTCGTCCTGCACAAGATCCTTGGCTCCATGTTTTTATCTGTGCTCTCTGATTTTGAACCCCTCCCTAAGCACACCGGCATTTTGTGATTTAGTTCGCACTTTTGTGATTTTTGTTTGCACGTGAGCCCTATCTTTGCTCTCAACACCACTCGCCTCCACTGCATGAAAATGTTGTGCGCGGAATATTTGGCAAATAAGAATATTTGGCAAATAAAGTACGAGAAATAAAGCATAAAACCCATACAATAATAACACAAAGATTTACGTGGTTCAACCCAAAAGGGCTACATCTATGGGCACGGTAAACTGAAATCTACTATACTAATGAAAGTTACATCAAATATTTTGGAACAAACTTCGACAAAAACACAAGTCGAGCAAACATTTTTAAACCACTCTCCATTCTTTCTCTTTACTTTTGGCAACTATTATCGACAATACCAGATAGAGATGCGATAACAACGAAAAACTTACTTTCTCTCTAACTAAAAGGGGAATAACCCAAAATCTCTATGGGAATCGCTTTTCTAAAAGAAACAAACAAGCCACTCAATTTTCGGGAGTCCAAAAGAGGCACCATTACAGTGTTTCTGTCCAAATGAAGCTCTCTTCTCTCTAAGATGAAATTGCATCTTATACACAAGACGCTTTAGCTCTCTCTCTCTCCAGAGGCACTACCATTCCCATATGATGACCCAAATATGACACAAATTTTCTGTACTTTCATCCCATATATGTAAAATTAGGAATCCATACTAAATATGAAACTTCCAATAAATCTTATATATATCTTAAAAGACCAAGAAATATATTCAAGAGTTCTAATCCTTTTTGGATTTCTATTCCTTTAGGAAACTTATCAATATAAATCTTAATCCCACATAATATGATAATATTTAAATATCACATAATATGGATCAATCTTAATCAATCCCATAAAATATGGGATTTCCTTTTGAGGGTAATTTTGGATAGCACCAAATCCTATAGAAAAGACTTCCCCTTTGCACAAAAACTTCAGCTCTTCTTTTCGTCTATAGTTGAATCAAACAACACTCTCAGTTTATTGAGAGAAACTTATAGACCAAGGAAGCATTGCTAAAGGCCTCCGAGTCATGTTTCGACTCACTATCGAGTCAGTTACTACTATCTGCAAAACAACATTTGTCTCTGTTCTGGACTGAGTTACTGAATTTGTCTTAGATCCACATCCACACTGAGTTCTGTTGGCTCATCCAAGTGCAATTATGCGCTTGTTGTTCAAGCAATTTGAGCATTGAGACCACTATTTCTATTGGTCACGCTATGCACGTGAAGAATTAAAAATGCAACTCATTTGTTCATGCAATTTATTGTTCATACTTTCGTTTATGTAACTTATTGTTCAAACTCCAGCTGCTTTGTGTAACAGCATCTTGAGTTTGAAGGAGAGTATTAGCGTATATATATCTTGATTATATAGGTATATATCTCTTGATAAGTTTATACAGGTATATATCTCTTGATAATGTTAGGTGTCAATAAGTATCTCAAGATTAGTTAGTAATTATCAATAATTATTGGTATTTATCCAGAACTGTTATTAACCGTATATTTATATGGGGTCTTGTATATTCTTGATTAATTAATAAAGAGAAAGTTCTCTACAATATTTCGAGTTTCTAATATGGAGAACTTGTTTGACCTGAGTACACTCAATTCACTTATGATGAACAATCTAAAAAATACAAATTTTGGAAACGCACCATAAAAGATGCATTTATTTTTAGGATTGTCTACAAAGAGATTATTTATCTTTTGCACATGGAGTTCGCAATCATTCTCACTCATTAGATGTCAAATTGGATAGCTTAGTGTGAGTCACGAAGTCCGAGATTTTTTTTTGAATTTTGTGTTTATTCAATGACACTATTAAAATACGGATCGATGCCTCGGATCGGGCACTCCAAAAACCCATCTGAATTGGTGAATCAACGATTCGAATCGGGAATCGTCTGACTTGGTTGGGTTAATCTTTAAAAAGATCCAAAAGAATTATTAAAATTCATTATAAATGTTATCTTTTAGGAATCCAATAAGAAACGAAAGTGCTACATTGATAACTTTCATATTTTTCATCAATTTGTGAATATTGAGACATTCTTTCTCTGAATAAACTTATGTTAACCATTAAATTCACATCATACAAAAGAAAAATCATAGAGGATAAAGTGTATCAATCATACATAGATTATAATAAAGAATAGACTAAATTTATGAAAAAGAGGCCACTAAAATTTCTAATTGGAGAAAAACCTTAATTCACTAAAAAAACCCAAATTATTACAACCTAATTATAATTTAAAATTATTACAACCTAACTAACTATAATATTATATACTGAAATTAAAATAGTTGGTTAACGTTTTATAATTATTTTACTATACAAACAATAACAAATCCAAAATATCTTATAATATCATTTAATTTAAAATGTATTATTGACAACTGTAAGAAAAATAATACATTATATGATTTATAATGTAAAAAATAATAAATAAAATGAAATTTTGGATATCAATATAGAAATTATTTGAATGCGTATCAATTTTCAAAATAACACTTCAATTTTTTAAAATTTTATTTTTTTAGAATCTAGAATGAATTTAGTAAAAAATATCGTTAGTAGAAAGATATAATTTCAAATGAAATAATATTTTTTTAACAACATTATTTCAGGCTTATTTTTTATTTTTTTCACAACAAAAGTAATATATTACATTATTTAGTAATGAAAAAATTAATAAATAAAATAAAAATTTGGTTGAAATTATTTGAATGCGTACCAATTTTTCAAACACTTTAAATTTTCAAAATTTTCATTTTTTAAAATTCTAGAATAAATGTTGTACTTGAAATGGAATAAATTTTCTTTTTAATAACATTATTTTCTACTTATTTTTTAATTTTTTTACAACAAAAAATTATTTCTTTTAGAACAAAAATTTATTTTTTATAGAACAAAAATAAAATTTTTTTAACAATATTATTTTCTGCTTATTTTGTCTTTTTTTACAACAAAAATTTAATTTTTTTAAAACAAAAATAAAATAATGTGGGGTGCAAACCTCTGAGGCATCCATCAACTAAGAGGAAGGAATGACCATAAAGCCATGCCGTTACAAGTGTATGAACTTTTCATATTAATAATACTTATTCAATATCCATTTTAATTTAACGCACCTCGTGGGAATTAACCCACATCCAAGAATGAGTATCAAAGTTTATTGTATAAATTGTTTCGCTGTACTACCCTAAAACTCGAGGCTGTGATGCTGTACTATCTAAGGCTTGCCACATCATATAGGCGGTTTATGGTTCACAGTTCTAATCTAGAACCGGTAATCACTCTACAATGGATAAATTGTCTCCTTATAGACAGTCCCCTATTTTTAAACAATTTTGAAATTTAAGGGACAAAAATGAGTGTGACTATCATGTACAATGGATAATTTGTCTCCTTGTATCCCCTATTTTAACCTAATAAACATAGGCAGACTATTTGTTGGAATGATTAAATCTAAGCTTTAGAGACACCTATTTTTATCCTAATTTTTGTTGATCGCCTTGTAGACCAATGTAGGGAAAATCGAACCCGAATAGTTAACCAGATAAGGGCTCGAAAGTGTTTACTCGATACTAACCGGTAAATCAACCAGTTCAACCAGCCTAACCGGGCATGTCCTGGGCAATAAAACATAGTATTAAAAAATAAAAATATAGGAAATAATAAAAAAATGAAAAATATATTTAACATATGATTAAACAAATCATATCCAAATGAAGTTAAAAATTAATGAAAAAAATGTATTTTAAAGAATTGATTTGTGCCTAAAAGTATTTTTGAAAATTTTCAAAAATAAAAAAATATAAAAATAAATATTAATAGCCAAGACAATTTCCAATCTTTTGCCAAAATAATAAAAACATTAAAAAAATGAATTATAAAGAAAATCCCTTCTTTTTTAGGATTTTATATAATTTTTAAAAATATCGAGCCGGCTCACCAAAAGCGGCCGAAACCAACCAGGCAATTAGGATTTCAACCGCTCGATTTTTACTACACTATAATAGACATTCGATTAATAACTAAAATAAAATTATTACTCTATTATTTTATTTAAATAGTAACGGTGTGAAGGTCTTATTTTAAATAATAACCGTATTAATGTCTTATCACACTAATCCGTAACTCTTATACTAGACACAACACTCGTGTCGTGTAACACTCCCATGACCAAACATTTGCACACAATTCCTATCTAATAGAGATAATGTTATAGAGAATAGCAAAGACAACTAGGGTTTTTGACATGCGTGTGTCTTGCTCCGTTCTTTTTCAACTGAAATTCATTTTCTTCAGCCATGACTACCTGCACATCTCTCTTTCCTGCACCCATTTAGCCATATTTTAGTATGCATCATTCATATCAACATGCCCGAACGTGTAACATAACATAGACATATGGCATAGATGCATAGGGGTTTTCCTTAAGAAAATTGTATGATTTAATGGACATACAAATATGCTTATGCATGGATAACCACACACATATTTATAAGAAAAATATCTTCGTATTTTTTATTTTTAGGTTTTTTTTCACAATAGATCCAAAATTTTAAAAGATATCATGGAACATAAAATTTGGACAAATTTTATTTCTTCTAACCCACTGAGCTAATTTAAACCTGTTTTTTTAGGCAAAACAAATCTAAAAAAATGTCTTTTCTAAAAGCCATCCTCTCAAACTTCTAGAGAGAGAGAAGGGGTTCATGGAGGTGAGATGTTAGCGAGAGGAGAGAGAGAGGTGTTTGAAAAAATACGGTAGTAGAGAGACAAAAAAAGAGAAAGAAGTTTAGAGTATATAAGTGAAGAGAGAAAAATGATTGTGTTTAGAAATAACATGTTTTTCTCACATTTGTTTAGGTTAAAGAATAAGTTTAAAGAAGCCAGGAAGTTAAAAGATATCTTTTTAAACATTGAGTTTATCAAGAAATGAAACCTAAAAATATGAAATATAAATATATTTTTCCTTATTATTTATATACTTCGTATCATCTTAAACTCACACTCACCCACATATATGGAAATGCGTTTTATGCATGTATGTGTGCATTACACATGCATACATTACCATTAAATCATCTATTTCTTGATTATAAGCCAAGGGATGCTTAATAGGGTTTGTGGATGAGATGGGATGCATATTAAAGCATATCTATAAATTTATCAAATAATATAAATACAAAATCAAATAGGGGATATTGCAATTGGCAGATCTATCGGATGCCAAATCGGGAACGTATAAGGGATGATATTGCATCAATAGGCTATGGACGCCTAAAAGGTCCACACACATAATTGAATGCTTTGGGTTTAAACCAAGCTCATCCAACGATCAAAATAAATTTATTTTTGGTTTTTATTTAAAAAGGAGATTAAGCTGAAATACGGGTCCTAGAATTTTTTTATAAGTATAATTGAAGAAAATTAATTAAAAAATTATTTTGAATAAAAAAAAAATATCGATCAAAATAAATTTAGAGGCATTTTAATTATTTTTTATTTAAAATAATTTTTTAATCATTTTTTTTAATTATCTTTAAAGGAATGATCCTATAAGACTCTCCCCCACTTATGTATGTAGGATCCCAAAAGATCACCATTAAAGTTGGTACGGATCTCTAAAAAAGTTATCAAATGGGTGTGGGACTTGACTTTTCTATAGATTTGTGTCAAATTTAATGGTAATCCTTTGGGGTCCTGCACACATGGATAAGAGAGGTTCCTATAGGTTCATTTCTCTTATCTTTATGAAAGTAAGCCTATACCCTAAAATTTAGATAAATATTTTATTGAAATAAAATATAAAAAATAAAATATGAAAGAAATTTTTGGTCATTAGAATGGGCCTTATAAAATCTCAACCATTCAAAAGAAGCTTCTGCACCATTTCCTTCCACTAGCCCATATGAGGTAGATACTATAATTTTCAAAAAAATATTGGGTTATTTCATACTTTAAATAAATTAACTCTAAACAATGATGGACTTATTGGGCTAGATTTACTTTAAAATCCGTTACAATTTTGAAGGGATTAATATCGGAAGAAAAAGAATCCCGTCCACATGATGTGGGCGGGTGGAAGGGTACATGAGTACCTTCCGGTGGTTCAGATTTCGGTAGGCCAAATCTAACAGCCACGAATTAGTCTCATATCGGATACCATACTTCTTAAGTTTTTCAAATTAGAGAACTTATATGTCCATCAAATAAATTTAAAAAATCAGGCAGCATTTCGACCATAATCAACCATGTAAAAATCACCATTTCACAGCGGCCAGGCATGGTACAAACCCGAAATATTGCCCGATATACATCAAATTTCATAATGAATTTTTGAATAATGATATTACCTTCTGAATCTCGGAGCAGCATGATCCCACACATGCACCCTTGTTGCCTCACTTCTTAGGTCTTCCCTCAAACTTGGGCTCACAGTTTCCTTTCTTAATGCAATCTACAAGCATCTGTGCCGAATCGATCCCTAAAATAATAAAAATGGAAAAGTAACCATGAACAACTATTGCTTATAAGCTCATGCACTCATAATAAGAAGAAATGGAAATAAAGTGAAGCTTGAACATACCAGATAAATAGGCTCCATGAACATAACCATTGTAATGCTCACTAGTATGCTCCCCAGTGAAGTAAACGTTGCCAACTGGTGCCTACAGTCGATTACCCACATTTTACATCCTTCCATTGTTTTGAAATACTAACAATTTCGTTTACGCGAAGAACTTTCCAAATCGAGTCCGGATTCACCCAGATTTGAAAACATATTGTTTTGAAATACATATGGTAATTTCCAAAGCCAAAATAGTAACGGATAATGCGTGATTGTACCCATTTTTATATGCATACAATGCTACTTATGTATGATAGCATTGAATACAAACTCGTTGAGTCTGACTCGGACTCACTCGAGTCGCATGAATTTGGAAGGCTGTTAAGAACTGAAGCAAACACACGAGAACAGGCAAAGTCTAAACCATTTTTAATATTTTGTTATTATTTTTTTATTTGGACCCGATTGAGTTGTCTGGCCTGACTTGAACTCGGGACTCTAGTGAGTCCGACCCCTCTCCTTACTTTTTATCACTGTATGTTAGATAGAAGTTCTCACCCTTATTTGATCATACTCAAAACGGCTGACCCCAATTGGCCAATTAGAGAAACTACCCTTGTAAAACCGATTTGACCACCATCGAGGAACAAGTATAGCTTTTGCATCAGGGATGTTTTTCCCAAACATGTTTCTCAACACCTCCATGGCTTCAGCTTTTGTCTCTTCATCTGATTGTTGCTCTATCCTTCTTGACTCATCATCTGTGACTGTCACTAGAAGAACGTTCGATCCAGGGTAATTGTTCTCCATTTGCTGCAAATCCAATCACAATCCTCTTGATATTTATTGAAACTTAACCATATTTAAAGTCATCTATAGACTAAAATATCGTAGAAATTTACAGAAAAGGAAACTTAAGTTTGCAAATGATGATTCACCTGCCATATAGGATAATACCCACGTTTCTCGTCAGCATATATAAAAAATTCGGTCCCGGGTCCAGTCGGCCAGAATTTGTAGGGGAACTTGAGAAGGATCTTAGTGTAGACGGCCATGTTAAATTGGTAGAGTGCTAGTAGCTTCCAATGCTAAATGAAATAGTAAAGCTCTCTGTAAGTAAGATCTCCTCAAACAACAGGCCATGGGATTGAATCTCACTCTTACTACGCAAATAAAAAGTCAATTTCAACAAAAACATAAGAAGACATGTCATTAAGAGCTTACAGGCAAGTCAGGATGAAATTTGATGAGATTTGTCTGGAGGACACCAATGCTCACCGAAACCATTGCATATTTTGCTCTGTACATGGATCCGTCCTCCGTTTTGACGATTACTCCACTACGTGAGTAACGGATCTCCCTCACAACCTACAAATATTCTCCTTTTATTCATCTATAATGGCATGTAGTCCTAAGAAAAAACTGCTGCATTCTGAGATCTAACATTTCGTATATTTGCTTATAAATTAAAACTTGGAAAATATGTGGAGACAGTGAGTTTCAATGAAGAAACAATTTGTGATTTAATGGCAAGTACAAAGACTCACCATTCCTAAAAAGTTTTGGCAGGTTTCTTAGGGGTTGATCCAGATTATACAGTTTACAATTTCTCTATGATGGAAAAGATATTCCCATGGAAAGAGCATAGAGTCATAGACGTGGTGTACTATTGCTGTAATACAATGTTATCTCCACCATCTGTACTCCACAAGGAATCGTAGAGATGAACTATACTCCCCCTCAAATGTGACACTATGAAATGTCAGGAAGGTGCTTAACTCTTACCCAACATCTTGAGCATGGAAATGGAGAAACTTAGAAATGACATGACATGGGTAATGCAGCGCAAAGTAACAATCAAACTTGATGTGTCTTGGGTTTCTCTAAAGAGACTCAGGGCGCGTCTTAAATAGACAAGTACAAATGACAAGACTAGAGCTGGTTTTAAATAGGCAAATATAGATGATAATAATAGAAAACAAATCACAGACACCTATATTGATTACAATATATGCTTCCATATTAAACTAATAGAAAATATATATACTTTCTTTTGACACTCGAGACAATATATATTTTCCTTTCACACTTAAGATATAGCATTATGAATGGTGTATGAGTACATAGTTACATACTACATACTATAGTACAATCCACTTTCTTTTGTAAGATGGGTATTCCTTGCATTCGTGCAAATGATCAACAAAGTTTGGAATCTACATAGTTCTAAATAGTTACCAATAATTCAAAAATAAGACAAATCTAAATGCTTACCATTCAAAAAGAGAGGAAAAAAAAAATCATTACCTTATTTAGCAAAAGACGTGGATCACTTATATTTGCCGTGTGTTTGGAGGTGGTGAGAAATTGATGAGCAATGTGATAGACCATGCTTTCATAGCCTCGGGTGTCAGCTACAAAGTTGAGATCTTCTCCAAAATTAGCAAAAGTTGGAAGGGGCTCCGTGTTTTGTAAACTTGTAATCCTTGGTGGCTCAGCAAACTCATAGTCGTAGGTGTAGTAGTCGATGGCCATGTCCAGTGGGCTTGTAGGAACTCTAATGGTAAAAGCCCACAATTTGAGAGAGAGAGAGAGAGAGAGAGAGAGAGATAGTCACCCGTGTGTTTCAGACATGTGCATAAGAGAGTTCAC